TGCTGCTTGGCCTGCTGTGTTCATCCAGCCCTGCACCTTGTTGTCTCTCATTTTATTTGGTGTCTGGATCACTTCAGATTCACCTTTTTGAGTTTGAATATATGATTAGCTCTGAAAACCCTGTCTATTCTTTCAATCTATGAAATGAATGGTTCTCAAGTGGTCTAGTATGTTCCTCACCTTCCAAGTGGACGTATCCTGTGCACACAGTCATTACTTGATTTCAAATGTAACAATGACAGTAAATAGAAACTAACTTGTGGAGAAACTCCAATCTGGCAGTCTTTAGGGAGAGAGAAAGTCTGTTGGGTCCAGTATGACTCTCCAGAACATAGTGGACTCAAAACTTTAACCCTGTTGCCCTGTCCGCTGCTGCTGCCAAACCTATTGAGTTTCTCCAGCACTTTCTGTTTGCATTTCAGAACTCAACCATGTGCAGTATTTTGTTTTAATTTTAGTGCCACTTTAAACCTTTGCTGTGGTTGTCTGTAACAGTGTTGCCCAGTTCAAGTCATCCTCTGTAGAACTGACTGACTCACCCAAACCAGCTAGATGGCAGATGAATAAATGGACACTAGGACCCTGCAGTAGCCAGCTTGCATACCATCCACGATGTCCAGAATAGTGAGACCCAGTTCAATCCAAATAAAATTTCTGCCGTCTGATCTGGCCAGTCACGTGGAACCAACCTATCTTGTTCATCAAACTCTTGACTGTCACTTATTGCCAATACTTTTGTCCTCTGATTCCACCTTCCTGCCAATGATTTGTTAATATCAAAAGCTAGTAACAAAAAAAGACAGACATGAAGATAGCTAGGTATCTTGTTTAATACCATCATTGCACACTGCACATTTTCATAGCAAGTGAATGCATTACACCCACAATGAAAATATCTTGATTAGTTTCCAATGGGTTTAATTCACTTTAATTATATAATCTTACAGGACAAAATGGGACAATTTATCTATTGTGAAAGTGCTAGTCTTAAGAACTATCCAATTAGATACACTTCCGTAACTTGAGAATCCTGAAAATAAAGCCTTGAAAATGTTCTTTTCCAAAGTATCTATCCAATTTTCTTTTGAGGAAGGACATTTCATATTACCACATATTGCTGCATCAAAGAAATTCCTCAATTGCATCTCTGATTCTTCTTTGTAACAAAACGGACCTAATGAAAGTAATGGAGTTAATATGTTGCTTTGAGAGATGTCTTGTTGAATTAAGGATCATTGCTGATTGATGTCAAGCCATAATTTTTCTGTGTGATTAGCATTATTTATTGCTATCATTGATCTCCAAACAGTATGGAGAATTTAAATTGCTTTGTTTTATGAAGTGTTAGTTTTAAAATTTTAGCTCAAATTTTAGCTATATTAAATGTGTTGTGGTATTGCTTGATAATCCAAAGCAACAGGAAATAATTGCTGCTGTGTCATGTAGGAAAAGTTTTAAAACATTGTTATTTCCACTTCTGTTGTAGGTTTTAATACTGAACAGGTTTTGCTGAGAGATCTTAAGGAGCTGTCAGAAGGAGATACAAAACTTGCAATTAGTACTGTGTGTATGACCCTGGAGGTGAGTGAATTGATGGTAATAGTAGCTACAATTTGTCAATAACATTACATAGGGTGGTCCATTCTATTACATGAATATTTACTTTCAATACTGCATGCAACACCAACGGCACAGTTTGAGTGATGTTACCACCACTTTATGGACGTAAATGCTTAATTGTGGACTGATTTGCATAATGCATATTAATAACTTTTTTAATGAAGAGTGATTTATCATTATGTTCTAAAACATCACAAATGAAATATTACATTCCTTATTTCGAGAGCTATGTGTCATTCTGTGATGGCTCAATAGGGATTCCTTAATATAGAATGGAACATGACGTTTTTCAGTTCTTTGGATGTACTAACTATCAGATGCAGAAAGCACGTACAAAATTGGATATTAGCTATGAGAACTATAATTTTTTAATTTCTTGTTTTAATAAGTGGAGAGTGCGATCTTATTATAAAGTCTTTAATGCTCTTCTTTGAATGTCATGGGTTAATTATGCACATTGCAGAGAGAAATTAGACTTTTGGAATGACTATTATTTTGTCTTGCTTGTTCAATTATTGTGCAAGGATTTATTTTTGAGTTACATAGTTTATCTGAATTTTGCTAACCACTTTTATTTGTGTCACATCCTTTTACGAATTGTTTCTAGCTTTGACAATAAATAAAGTAGAACATTATTCTTTAAAAATGGCAAAATAAAAACTTTCCAAATTTGTCATTTTGAATTTAATCTGTAAAATTTGACTGTTTAGAATGTAAATTTGATTGGTAGTCATAAAATTATCAGCCAAAATCACTTCTCCACTTTAAGATACTCAAAGTGTACTAATGCAATTATAGATCATTCAGTGGTAACTGAGAATGGTATATGCGTTAGTAACAAGGCTCACAGTTAATTCACAACTGCATTTTTGGTAGAAGGACAGGATGCAAAGCAACTGAGAAGGAAATGAGAAAATGTCAAGGCCAAAACAAATTGCAGGTCTAAAGGCACTTTTATGTCTTGGCAGTTGTAACCAGAGATTTGTATCTGTTTGAGATGTCCAGTTTGACCTTGAAGAGATTTGAACTTTGTGTCTCCATAATTTCCATTTTCAAGCTATTCTAAAAACTCAATATTTTAAAATAATGCTTGCTTACATTCTTTCTCAATCTCTTGTTTCTTCTTATTCACATGTCCTGTTGTTTTATTGACATGTACCCAATTCAGTAAGCCTGACTGATCTTCTGCATTTCTAAGAATTATTAATTTGAAAACCTCCAATTACCTGCCTTGACAGTCATTCCACCAACAACTGGTATCCCAGTTTTGTTGGCCTGCTGTCATTTATTTTATTCTGTGAAACTCAAATCATTGCAGTTAACTCTCTTACGCATCTTTGCCAGCTCCAGCTATCTCCAGCTTGAACTAATTTCAAAATTTTCTTGAAAGACAGTGCAGTTTTATTAGTCACCAGAAACGTGCCAACAAACACGGGATGAGCTTACCAACAGCGTTGCGGCCGTAGGGGGTACAGGGCAAGTACCTAATACAGACAGGAATGCAAAGGTAGTTGTAGATTACAGTTTTTAAGAGTTTTATGTTGTGAGAATGAAATCTGAGTCCCGGCTGCTTAGTAGCTGCCCTATTTTTATTCTGGAACAGGGTAACTTGCTGATAGCTTCAATTTCTTAGTCAGTTGTGGTTTTTCCAAATAGATTCTTTTCACTGGCGCTGATTTGAGATGAAGGAAGTGAAAGAGGATGTCAGATGTTGATGTCCTTGCAGTGTCCAAACCTTGTTGCTTTCTGTCCTTCTGGAATCATAATGAATAGAATTTATCAGCAGGATTTAGCCATTTGATTCATTGACGCTTGATCTTTCAACATGATCTTGGCCGATCCTCTGTCAACGCAATGTTCCTCTCTTCCCTCCTGCTCTTGACTCCTTAATTGTTTCTTAAACATGCTCAGTGACCTGGTCTATAATTGCTGCAATGCATGTATTTGTTCCTGAAATATTATCCATTACCTGTTTGCCGACTTGCCTTTCAACGATGTTACCCAGTCTATCATGGTCAACTCACCTTTCGTACCTGTGTAATTTCTTTTCCTTGGATTTAGGACCCTAATTTTGGAATAGACTACTTCACTTTGTATCCCAATGAAGAGTCCTGTCACAAAATAAAACAAAGAACTGGGGATGTTGAAGATCTGAAACAGAAACAGAACTTGCTGGAGAAGTGCAGGTGGAGCCCAGTGAGAGAGAGAGAGAGTGTTATGAAAGGGGTAGGCAACAAGGAGATAATGGATATCAGGCCAGGACAGAAGAAAAGCCGAATAAGAGATAATAAGACTGAAAAGTGAGAAAATGAGTTAGCTGTGCTGAGTGCAATCCGTATAATGTGATAATGGACCTAGGCGCACGTGGAAATGGGTGACTATACTAAAAGCAACCCATGTCACAACAGGACCAGGTGTGGCCTGGGTAAAAATCATGGCAAGATGGAATTGAACCATAAAGTTATTGAACTTTATGTTGAATCTTAAGAGGCTGCAGGGTCCCCAAGTGAAAAATGAAATGTTGTTCCTTGAGCTTGTGCTGACTCTCGCTGGAACACTGCAGCACTCCTGCAATGGAAATGTTGGTGTGGGAACACGGTAATGTGTTGAAAGGACAAGCAACCAGAAGCTCAGAGTCATTTTGCAGACAGAGCATAGATGTTCTGCAGAACAGAAACCCAGCCTGTCTTTTGTCTCCCCAGTGTAGAGGAGGCCACATTGTGAACAGTGACACTAGATTGAGTGAAGTACAGGTGAATGGGCAGGTGTTACATCTTCTGCAATTGCATGGGAAAGTGCCTTGGGAGTGAGGGGAGATGTTGGGAATGGAGAAAGAGTGGACCAGGGTGTCCTGGAGGGAACAGTCCCTGTGAAATGCTGACAAGGGACAGGAGGAGAACAACGTGTGTCTGATAGTGGCATCCCATTGGAGGTGACAGAAATGACGGCTTACAATTCTTTAGATGTGGATGCTGGTGGGTGGTAAGACAAGAAGAATGGGGAACTGTGTCATTGTTACGGGAGCAAAAGGAAGGGGTAAAGGCAGATGTACAGGAGATGGGTGGAACGTGGGTAAGACCCTGTCAACCATGGTAGTGGGGAATCCTTGTTTGAGGAAAGAGGGGATGTTTCCTAGGGCCCCCTGTGGAAGGTGGCATCATCCAAATAGATATGACGGAGACAGAAACTGGGAGAATAGGAAGAAGTTATTAGAGGAAGCACTGTGTGAGGATGTATAGTCGATGAAACTGTGGGAGTCGGTGGGTTTATAATGTATGTTTGTGGCCAGCCTATTCCCAAAGATGGAAACAGGTATTGAGGAAGGGAAGGGAGGAGACTGAGATGGACCTGGTGAAGCTAATAGCAGGTTGGAAATTGGATGTGTCATTGATAATTTTTTCCAATTCCAAATGAGAGAGGGAAGCAGCACTGATGATATCATGGAGAATGAGTTGTGTGGAAGGACCTGAGTAAGTTCAGAACAAGTAATATTCCAGTGGTCCACAAAGAGACTGACACAACTGGGGCTCATGTGGGTAACTATATCCATGCCTTTGACCTGAAGAAAGTGAGAGGAGTTAAAGGAGAACTTGTACAGAGTGAGGATGAGGGAGGAGGAAGGAGGGTGGTGGGGGATGGGGACGGTTCAGGCCTTTTTTCCAGGAAGAAGTGGCGATCCCTGAGATTATCCTGATGGAGGATGGACATGTAAAAAGATTGCACGTCTATGGTGCAGAGATTGTGACTGGAGCCTGTGAACTGGAAATTCTGAAACTGATGTAAAGCATCAGAGGAATTGTGGATGTAAGTGGGAAGGGACTGGACAAGGGGAGAAAAAGATCTATTTGAGGTAGGAAGAGATGAGTTCTGTGGGGCAGGAGCAGGCAGAAACTGTGTGTCTGGCCGGACAGTCCTGTTTGTGGATTTTGGGGATTTGGTAGTAGTGGGCTGTATGGGGTTGGGGGACTAAGAGGTCGGAAGCTGTCATTCCCTCTGGAGCATGCTGGTCCACTCCTACTCTCACTCCCATGACATCTTCCCATGCAATCGTAAAAAGTGTAATACTTGCTCATTTACCTACTCCCTCCTTGCCATCGAAGGCTCCACACATACCTTCCAGGTAAAGCGGGAATTTACCTGTACCTCATTCGATCTAGTCTACTGCACTCGCTATTCACAATGAGGCCTTCTCTACACTGGGGAGATGAAATGCAAGCTGGGTGACCATTTTGCAGAACACCTAAGCTCTGTCTGCGAAAATGACTGAGTTTCCAGTTGCCTGTCACTTCAACACACCAGTGTTCCCACGGCAACATTCCTGTCACAGGACTACTGCAGTGGTCCAGCGAACCTCCGTGCAAGCTCAACAAACAACATTTTGTTTTCTGCCAGGGGACCCTGCAGTATCTTAGGACTCAACATAGAGTTCAATAACTTTAGATCCCGATTCCATCCTTCCATGTTTTTCACCCACCCCACACCTGGTCCTTTTAAGACATTGGACTGATTTCAGCACAGTCACCCATTTCCACCTACTCCTAGCCCTGTTAGCACATTACACGGGTTGCATTCAGCACAGCTAACCCATTTTCTCACGTTTCAGCCTTATTATTCTCTTATTCAGCTTTTATTCTGTCCCGGCCTGATATACATTACCTTCTAGTTTACCGACCTCTTTCATATACATCTCTCTGTCTGCGCTCCATTTCCACCTATCTACTCACCTTCTCCACAACCGCACCCCATGTGCCTCTTTGGCTTTAGCATAAATACTAGTTTTTAAAAGATTCTAAGAGTTATGAAGGAGCATCACTGGACTGAAAATGGTAGCTCTACTATCTTCCTGCAGATCTTGCCAAACCTGTTGAGTTTCTCTGACAATTTTTGTTTTCTTGTTAAGAATGCTATCCTAAAGGACCTCTCAAGACAAGATAATTAATTAATTAGCCCTTTCCTGTTTC